CTCCCTGAAAAATCACAGCACCTTGCCCCAATACATCTCTCAGGAGCCCGCAGCTCTGATGCAAGTAGTAGGATGATTTTTTGGAGGAGTTCTGCAAATATCAAAATGCCTTTATAAGCAGGTGTCAATCCGGAGGAGTGGTCATTCTAGGCAGACTGCCTTTGCATGCAGACTGACCTAGGTAATGTCTACTCATGATGCTGAGCCTCCATGAAAGAACTGAAATCCAATGAATGAAAGGGGAGAGCCATACAGAAGCACAGAGACCCAGGAATAGTGTCTCTGGATCTAAAATAAGGTATGAGTTAAAAACAGAGTGTTTTATTGAAGAATTTAATTAACATGTTTATGGGGTAAAGGAGGAACCAGGAAAGGCAAAAATAAGCAGATCACAGGAGTTAAGACAATGTTAACTTTTTAACCGATTTCCCGTTGCCCTATAGCAGATATACTGCTACAGGGCAGAAGGGGTGTGCAAAATTACTTGTATATATGTGATTTTGCATTTCCGGGTAGGGGGCACGGTCAAACCACATGAGTGCCCTACCCGCGCAGCTATTCGCGGCCTCGGCTGTCAATCACCGGGTCCCGGCTGGTGATTACTTGCCAGCCCCCGGTGATCGCCGAGCATTAACAACGGTGGGAGAGAACTGTATGTAAACGATACAGTTCTATCCCATCAGCTCCTGCACACTGCTTTCTGTGGCTCTGCATAGCAGAGCCATACAAAGCAGTGTGCTTACACACACGCACAGCTTACAGTAAAACAGCACACAGTTAACCCTGTGATCACCCCACATGTTAATTCGTTCCTGTCAAGTGCCATTAGTACAGTGTCAGTGCTTTTTATTAGCTTTTTATTATGGGGATGTCAGTGACACCAAATCAGTTCCCCCCAGTGTTAGAATGCCCGCCGCAGTACCGCTATAAGATGCTGATTGCTGCCATTACTAGTATTAAAAAAAAAAAATTCCAGTATATATACACCACCATTTGTAAATGCTATAACTTTCACGTAAACCAATTCATTTACATGTATTGTGATTTTTTTTTTTTTTAGCAAAGACATGTAGCAGAATACATTTTGGCCTAAATTTATGATGAAATTAGATTTTTTAAAATGTTTTTACTGGACATTTAATAGCAAAAACTCAAATATATTATTTTTTCTCAAAATTGGTGTTTTTTTTTTTTTTTTACAGTACAAAAAATAAAGAATGCACTGGCAATCAAATACCACCAAAAGAAAGCTCGATTTGTTGGAAAAAAGACGTAAATTTATTGGGTGTGGCGTTGCATGACCGCGCAATTGTCAGTTAAAGTAACAAAGCGCCGTAACGTAAAAAATGGCCTGGTCAGGAAGGGGGGTACATTTTTCAGGAGATATAAAAAGCTAGCAAGTTATTTGTCTTGCAAACAATTAAGCTGAACTGAAATGTCAGTTTCACAGCAAGGTAACATTTCAATTTTGCACGGTCCCCACTTTAGGTAAAAATAAAAAAAAAAAGAGTTTACTACCACTTTACAGGTAAGCTTACAGCAAGGCTTACTGTACCTGTACATAAAATGAATATCTCCTAAATATGCAACATTTAGGAGATATCCTAGCGAGCAGCAGCCAGTGGCATCACCGGAACATGCGCTCTGAAGGAACAGCATACCCGTGCCGTTTTTTCAACCGTGCCGTGTGCCGTGGGCGGGAGTGTCATCATCGTGGCTGGCCATTCAAGCAGCCACAGCCCGCGAACCTGAAGAAGGACCGGGTGAAGATGGAAGCCTCTGCAGCAGTGACAGCGCGCTGCTTGAGGGCTTCATTTTCAGGTAAGTCTTTCATACTGTAACATGTTAGTATGCAGTGCATACTAGCACATTATGATGTTGCCTTGCAGGAAGAAACTATTTTTTATTTCTTTTGTAAAGCAAGAATTTACTACCGCTTTAACCTAGCCCTCCTTTGCTCTGCATTAGCTTGACACTACCAAGAGGCAGTGTTGTTACTGTTGCAGCACATTGTCCTCTGCATCCACAGGCTTTCCACAGACATTCTCCCTTTGAGGATGAGATGAAGTTGAGGGTATTTCTTATCAATGGGCTAAACTGTGAGTAGCACAAATTGTGACATTTGCATGATTTATCCCAGCTTCTGCAAAGTATGCATCCATAAATTAGGGATCTTAAAAGGAAGGTAATTAGGTCAGAAGAACAAGTACATGTCATGTGAAAGTAAATGTATTATTTAAGCTGATAAATACACTACAGAGACAACACTGCAAAACATTACTTGTATGCAGTATTACCTGACAGGTATGAACAGGCCAAACCCCAAACATCTGCATGCAATGACAGAAATCAAATTTCAGCTGGTTGTTATGGAAATAAAAAACAATCCAGCAGCACAAAACCTTTCTATTTTAACTACCACCCCCAAAAGAAAAGTCAACAACTTTCACCCCTGAAAGTAAACGTAAATGATAACACAACTTTTCTCAACTCATAAATAACTAAAATAATAAATCATAATTAGTGTCCAAACCATGTGAATGTCCTCGGTAAGTAAATAAATTAATAAAAGTCTTCTATAATAAGTCTCTTTATCCTTCAAAAATAAACGTATCTCTTTACTTTATGCCACGTAGATGTTTCTGGATTTTCGTGTACCTCAAAAAAAATAAAACTCAAAATAGTGTATTACCTTTCATATAAATAACGTGCCACAAATTGTGAATCGTGCAAACTGCATAACAAGTGCAATACACACGTGAAGGAAAAAAAAAAAATTATATATATATATATATATATATTAATATATACTATCCAACCAATATATAATATAGTGTATCAAAATACCAACGTGAATACACTAAATGGTGAAAGCAAACACTAGCAATCAACAGTGATTCACTTCAAAATTGTGTAAAAATCCACTCAACATAAAAAGTGATCAACCTTCCAAGCCAATTCTAATAAAAGGATATAATCCTTATTTCTTAATATATCGTGCAAGAATAAGTACCAAAAGTGTTCCACTTCAACTGGTGTAAAAGTGAATAATTACCAAATGCCAGTAGCAAACAGGCACTTCTCAAATGCATGGAAAAGACTCTCCAGGCTCCTAATTAATCTTGAGATATCTCCTCCATTATCCTCATGAAATAAATCAGGGTTTTGGAGATGATGGCGTAACAAGTAAACAACATTTATTGAGTAACTTACATTTAAAAAAGCAGAAATCAGCTTCCACAAACAGAGACAGCTATTCAGTATGGGAACCACCACAAGTTCCCACTTCCAAAATGGCTGCGATCGCACTTCTGGTAGGTGTGAGTGCGTCAGACGTCATGTGACCCGACGCGTTTCGTCACTTCCTGGAATTTTTCTAGGGATCCCCATTTGAGAAGTGCATGTTTGCTACTGGCATTTGATAATTATTCACTTTTACACCAGTTGGAGTGGAACACTTTTGGTACTTATTCTTGCACGATATATTAAGAAATAAGGATTATATCCTTTTATTAGAATTGGCTTGGAAGGTTGATCACTTTTTATGTTGAGTGGATTTTTACACAATTTTGAAGTGAGTGACTGTTGATTGCTAGTGTTTGCTTTCACCATTTAGTGTATTCACGTGGGTATTTTTGATACACTATATTATATTGGAGTATATAGTATATATTATATATATATATATATATATATATATATATATATATATATATATTTTTTTTTTTCTTCACGTGTGTATTGCACTTGTTATGCAATTTGCACGATTCACAATTTGTGGCACGTTATTTTATATGAAAGGTAACACACTATTTTGAGTTTAATTTTTTTTGAGGTACACGAAAATCCAGAAACACCTACATGGGATAATGTAAAGAGATATGTTTATTTTTGAAGGATAAAGAGACTTATTAATGAAGACTTTTATTAATTTATTTACTTATTGAGGACATTCACATGGTTTGGACACTAATTATGGTTGTTATGGAAAGGTTTTTTTATACTGGTAATGTGATGAGAGCATGCGCACCAGATAACATTATGATACAGATGACATCAACAATTGAACAGTGACTTTCGATTTTGGAAGTACAGCAAACAGAACAAAAATCTGTTTCTGTAGAACAGCCTATATTTGGGACACCATTATGTAGGCCATTCCTATTAATCAAACATTCACACACATAACACACTCATACTTTGCATTTATTATTTCTGTAGAGAACCCTTTCATTGGGTTGCAGCAGCCAAACAGAGCCACACCTGTTTAAAGTGATTAGTAAATGAATAGCATCTGAAATCTGGAATCTGTCCATGAAGTTTATCATTCTCTGTGACCGAATTATTGTATTCGCCAAACATCCTGCACACGTGGTAGCAGAAAAAACAAACTGGTCTTTTTACAATTCATATATCTTCCTATATCTTGGTTTGCTTAACCAATTCCAGTCCGGACACATTTACCCCCTTCCTGTCCAGGCCAATTTTCAGCTTTCAGTGCTATCACACTTCGAATGACAATTGCGCGCTCATGCACTGTACCCATATGGATTTTTTAGCATTTTTTGAGACAGATAAAGCTTTATTTTGGTGGTATTTATTCACCACTGGGATTTTTATTTTTTTTGCTATGTAAATGAAAAAGTCCAAAAATTTTGAAAAAAAAAGTGTTTTTTTTTATACAATTTTGCAAATAAATAATATTTGATCATAAATCTTGAGCAAAATTTATTCAGTTATCTAAAATAACCCAAATTAGTTTATAACCAAAAATTATAATTTTTAAACTTTTTTTTTTACATTTTTCTGTTATTTTTTTAGATTATTATTTATGGGTTTTTTTTTTTTTTTTTAACATACTGTCACTACTTGTGGGAGGTGATGAAGATTTTTTTTTTTTTTTTTTTTTTTTTTTAAACGTATTGCTTTTACACCCATAAAGACTGTAAAAGCAATAATTTTTCCTTCTCTCTGACTGCATTCTTGCAGCCTTTGAGAACTACTGTGTGAGCTGTGATTGGTCACAGCTTGTCACATGGTACAAGGCTGTTGTGAATAGCCTTGTACCATGTGACCTCTGTGATCATTCAGATTTCACACGTAGTAAGCAATGATGTCAGAAGTGACATCTTGCTTACTACTATTCATGTGATCACTGATTGGCCAATCAGTGATCACATGATCGGGACCTCACAGAGAGGTCCCGTACAGCGATCGGTGTTCTGCTGTGTCTGGAGGATCGTGTTGCCACGCTCTCCCAGGGAGCTTGCACAGGCTAAAATGGCGGGCGCTGTTTATGAACGACAACTCACTCCTGCACTGCTCCCGTCTGGCCGTTAACTCTGCATGTGATCACTGATTGGCCAATCAGAAGTCCCATACAACGATCGGTGTTCCACTGTGCAACGGGGAGCGCGCACAAGCAGGGCCACCCAACCCTGCACTGCCACCGTCCGGCCGTTTACATACAACAGCTGGACGAGAGGTGGTTAAAGCAGAATTCCTTCTTACCAACTGCCATATATCTGTTAAAAGCCAAGATCACCTTTAGAAGATGCAGATTTATTCATTTAATAGGATATTAAGGGTGCCCAATATTGTACAAAGTATATATATATATATATATATATATATATATATATATATATACATACACAGTGGGGCAAAAAAGTATTTAATCAGCCACCAATTGTGCAAGTTTTCCCACTTAAAAAGATGAGAGAGGCCTGTAATTCGCATCATAGGTAGACCTCAACTATGAGAGACAAAATGAGAAAAAAAATCCAGACAATCACATTGGCTGATTTGGAAAGAATTTATTTGCAAATTATGGTGGAAAATAAGTATTTATCTGGCCCGCCGGGTGTTTTGAAATATTTGGCATCCCCCTGCGTACTTTTATGGCGGCATCCCCTGCATACTTTCACTTTCATTCCACCAGCACTGCTCTGACTGGCTCTGCCTCTCCATCCCTCAGCTCCCTCACCTGCCCCTTGGCTCCGCCTCGGCTCCACCCCCAGTGATAGTACTGTGTGCTGGGGATGTAGATCCGGCCGGCGCGGTGGGTAAATGATAGAGGGGTGGAGTCTGTGATCTCTGGAGGGGCTGCCTGCAGTTCTCCCGCGCTGGGCAGTGACAGACAGCCGAGGAGGACACTGATCAGACTGCATTGAATTGATGGACACTGGTGAGACTGCATTGATGGGCACTGGTGAGACTGCATTGATGGGCACTGGTGAGGCTGCACTGTTGGGCAGTGGTGAGGCTGCATTGATGGGTACTAGTGAGGCTGCATTAATGGACACTGATCAGACTGCATTGATGGGCACTGGTGAGGCTGCATTAATGGACACTGATCATACTGCATTGATGGGCACTGGTGAGGCTGCATTAATGGACACTGATCAGACTGCATTGATGGGCACTGGTGAGGCTGCATTAATGGACACTGATCAGACTGCATTGATGGGCACTGGTGAGGCTGCATTAATGGACACTGATCATAATGCATTGATGGGCATTGGTGAGGCTGCATTAATGAACACTGATCAGACTGCATTGATGGGCACTGGTGAGGCTGCATGAATGGACACTGATCAGACTGCATTAATGGGCATTGGTGAGGCTGCATTAATGGACACGGATCAGACTGCATTGATGGGCATTGGTGAGGCTGCATTAATGGACACGGATCAGACTGCATTGATGGACACTGGTGAGGCTGCATTAATGGACACTGATCAGACTGCATTGATGGGCACTGGTGAGGCTGCATTAATGGACACTGATCATAATGCATTGACACTGATGGGCACCTGGATGCTGGCATTGATGGGCTATATGCTTGCATTTTTAGTCATTGGTGAGGCTGCATTAATGGACACTGATCAGACTGCATTGATGGGCATTGGTGAGGCTGCATTAATGGACACTGATCAGACTGCATTGATGGGCATTGGTGAGGCTGCATTAATGGACACTGATCATACTGCATTGATGGGCATTGGTGAGGCTGCATTAATGGACACTGATCAGACTGCATTGATGGGCACTGGTGAGGCTGCATTAATGGACACTGATCATACTGCATTGATGGGCATTGGTGAGCCTGCATTAGTTGACACTGATCAGACTGCATTGATGGGCACTGGTGAGGCTGCATTGATGGGCACTGATCAGACTGCATTGATGGGCACTGGTGAGGCTGCACTGTTGGGCACTGGTGAGGCTGCATTGATGGGCACTGATCAGACTGCATTGATGGGCACTAGTGAGGCTGTATTGATGGGCACTGATCAGACTGCATTGATGCGCAGTGCAGTCTGTATGTCTCTGTGTGGGCAAAGTTATTGCTGGTAGGTATATTGTTTTTGTAGCGCCGTATATATATATATATATATATATATACAGTATATATATATATATATATATATATGTATATATATATATACACAGTGGGGATCGAATGTTTGGCCACCCCAGCTAAAAATGTGTATTAATGTGCATAAAGAAGCCAAGGAAAGATGGAAAAATCTCCAAGAGGCATCAAATTACAGATTAGACATTCTTATAATATGTCAACAAAAGTTAGATTTTATTTCCATCATTTACACTTTCAAAATAACAGAAAACAAAAAAATGGCGTCAACAGTCTGAGGGACAGTGAACTGGCCCCCTGTTTAAAAAGTTTGAGGACCCCTGAACTAGAGGAAAGTGATAGCTAGTAGAAGTAGAGTCAACTGAAAAAAAATGTTCTCATCTATCCCACTTAACATGCTTTGTAATTTCTAAGATACTCTCTCTTTTATTACCATATAACTAGTACTTTAACGTGTTTGCTTGTTTTTGTGGACTTGGAAGCTGCACATTTCAAACAAGGAAAAACAACTTTTGTTGGGATTACAGGCCCTTTTCTCATTTCAGTTGCACCAACAACATCGGAGCTTCAAGTTATAATTTCTAAAAAATTTGGCAATACAGGGTGCAAAATCTCACCTATTTTCTCTATCTCTGGACCAATATTTGTTCCAAGTACCCTGTAATTTTTTCCAATTTAAAATCACTAACAAAGCCCCAATAAATATTATTAACACTTCTGACTCATCCTCCTTTGTTCTATTTCAACCTCTATAGCTCACCTCATAGCCTCTAGACCCGGGGTTCTCAACCTTTTGAAGAACGAGGGCAGCTTAAGTAATTTGGGTTCCGGTTATGAGCCACAATGAACTATGGGATTTTACTGCCCCCCCCAAACCGCAAATGTAAACAAGCCCTTACTGACCTGAGCCCCCCTATAAGGCTGCTTTAACACTGATGCGCTGCAGTTAGATGCACTGAGCCATAGACTTATATTACATCTTGCAGGTGTGGTGAACTTCCTAAAACCACCCCAAAACTCCTGCATTCAGGAGTTTTGGTGCACCTTCAGAAAAAGCACCAAACCTGCAGGATAGAATAGAAGTCTATGGCTAAGTGCATCTAACCCTCAGGAATGCTGCAAGTGCACTGCACTGCACCCGTGGATCAGTGTGAAACAAGCCAAATAGCTTTTAACCCCTATAGGTGCTAACATGCCCATTGCAAAAGCCATTATGGCCAGTATATGTGTTGTTTAATACACTGACACCTCTTGCAGCTGTTGCTCGCATCACTCTCCAGGTTGCTAGAAAGGATTAGAGGTGGAGTGAACTTCGTATCACTCTGCCTTGTACAGGAGCCAGTGGTACAAAAGAAGTATTGGCTTATACTGCTCCTGCTCCCTCAACATCTGCCTGCTCCCTCCGCTCTGATGGTCTGAGATGGCAGGTCTGATGTTCTGAGAGGGCAGATCTCGATCAACCTGTTGCCTACCCCAGGCATGCTCCCCTGGTTTGATGGTGCAGGCCAGATGGTGCAGGCCAGATCAGATGGCCCTGCAGGCCACTGGTTGAGCACCCCTGCTCTAGACAGCGATAAAATCTGACAGATTCTAACCTGCCCTCACTATATCCAAAAATAGAACCTGTGGGTTTCAGTTGTGTTTTGTGCAATACATAAATATACATATATATCCTTCTTACATTAGCCAACACAATGATTTTCTAGAAAGACCTAAAACATACACAAACAGCATTATTTTTCCTATGCAAACCAGTGCCAACTACATTCTACAAAATTCCATTTAGTAACAAAATTAGAACAATCAAACAGTAAGCAAGGATGGTTTAAATCCATTTCTCTGAGACAAAAAAAGTCTATTGTCACCTTTTTTTACTACCATCCAGCATGAATTGTTATTCACTCCAGTGCCAGCAAAGAGACATTTTGCTTTCTTTATAAAACAGTATTTTTTCACAAAAATAAGTATCTAAAGTAGCAAATAATAGAGAGTGAATATGCTGAGGATTGCTCTGAAAAGCCATTCTAATAATTGCTGAGAAATACTGTATATACCAGCAATGGGCAAACTACGGCCCGGCGGACCTTTTAATCCGGCCCGCAGAGCGTGATACTGTCAGGATGGCTGTTAGGATGTGTGTAGGCGGGGCAGCGTGACGAACGTGAGGGGAGCTAGGCTCCTCTCACAGTCCGCCCTGAAGACCGGAACGGCGCGGGAACACGGCGAGAGGAACGCGCGTTGCAAAGGTAAGTAAATTGACACAGGGGAAATATGGGGAATGAATTACTATAGGGGGGATGAATTACTATAGGGGGGATGAATTACTATAGGGGGGATGAATTACTATATGGGGGATGAATTACTATAGGGGGGATGAATTACTATAGGGGGGATGAATTACTATAGGGGGGATGAATTACTATATGGGGAATGAATTACTATAGGGGGGATGAATTACTATAGGGGGGATGAATTACTATAGGGGGGATGAATTACTATAGGGGGGATGAATTACTATAGGGGGGATGAATTACTATATGGGGGGATGAATTACTATGGGGGATGAATTACTATATGGGGGATGAATTACTATGGGGGATGAATTACTATATCTACTCTTGGTCCGGCCCCTGGGTCCAATATATGAACCCATTGCGGCCCTCAAGTCAAAAAGTTTGCCCACCCCTGGTGTATACAGTATAAACAGCAATCTACAGTAACTGCAGCAATGGTATGAAATGAAATAGATTTGTGGTCACTTGCATTTCAAATGAAAACTGCTTTGTAACATATTTTAAATATTTAGCCAGCTCAGATAAGATTACCTCATTTCCATTTTATAGATACTGTGTGTAGCAGACCAGATGAGAAACCGCTTTTTCAAACAAATATCCAGTGTGGAAATACAATGCATGTTCAAATAAACAACATTAAATTTGGATATCATAGTGAAGAATCAGTGTATACACTGGAAACAATCCCATTTGTCATACATTACAATCTAAGGAATTCATAAAGGATTTCATAGACACCTTTTAGAATTTCGTCTGGGAAAAGCACCGAAAATGTTGGTACTTGTACCAAGTTCATGTACCTGTCAGAAAGGTATATGCAT